CAAAAAGAATATTTGCTGTTGGATAAGAAATACATTCATTTTGAATGATGTTTAACGGTGGTGGTGGTGATGATGATTGAGTAGTAGTTGTTATTCCTATTGTTAATGCTGCTTCATCAGTATAATTACCACTAATTTCACGAATACGATCTCTAAGATAAGATATGGTTGCGTAATTATCTACCCATACGGTTTTTGTTTTATTATGACCAATAGGGATTTCAACAAATGCTGGACTCAAATTATTATAAAACATTTTAACAATTTTTGTTGGTTTCATGTGTTCCATCATGATGAATAATGTTGAGCTTTAGAAAGAAATCTAAAACAAGGAAACACAAAAAAACAAAAATTTTATAGATATGAATTGAATAAAAAGAACTAAAATCTAATAGCTAGGTTTATTATGGCATGAAAATGGCAATAAGTTATTTTGTTGTCGATTTCTGTGTAATAAATATCTTTTTCATCTTTGTACATGATTCAAGTAGATGTTCAATTTTGCTTATTTTCATTTGATTTTCTTTTATAATTGTTAATTGTATTTGTAATGCTACAAAAGACAAAAACGAAAAAAAAGAAACATAAATCTATTATCGTTCTTACTTTGTTTCTCTTGATGAATATGAACATATTCTTCCTTTATATCATAATTCTTAGAATTAGTTTTCTAAAAATAAATCGACATAGATATGTATTTATGAATAAACCAAAAAAAAGACATTCACTTGTCGATATTCTTTTAATTGTTGTAAAATTGTATCATCATCAAGTGCTTGTTCCAATAGATTATATTGTTTTTCTTCTTCTTGTTCTAATTGTTGAAGTTGTCGTGCTAGATCAGTTTCCATAATTTCATCGAAATTAATCGGTTGACATTGAGGATGTTTGTCTTTTTGCCATTTATGCCATCGTGTTAACATTGTTTCAATTTGTTCACGATAAGATTTTACCGATGGTCGATCATTTGTAGTTATTATTGGTGTATTATTTTGATTATAACGATGATTGACTTTATATAAATTATTTCCGTGCATCTAGAATAGAGAGAAGTAAAACAATGATGTATTATAAGAACTAAAACTACAAATGAAAAAAAAAAGAAAAGCTATTTTTTTATTATTATTTCAAGTTCAATATTGGATGTGAAGGACGTTGTCCACTAAGCAATGAAATTAATGAATGTTGACTTTTTGTTGTAATATCAAGTTGTAATTTATTGTTTTCGAAGGTTGTATTTTGAAGTTGAATATGTTTTGATAGAATTTCACGTAATTTCTTATTGAATCTACCTTTAGGACCAACATTATCATAGATATAAGATAAATGAAAACGTCGATTTTTCTTGAATGATTCTTGTTTTTTTTCTTTATATTGTCGTTGTTCTCTCATAAAATTAAATAGACGATGGCGAATCTTTTTATAGACATGTTGATCAAGAGGTAATTGTTGAAGTGATTTTGCATCGAAAAATGTTAAAAAATGTTGAATATGTTTATCGATAAAGTCAATTGAATAACCATTTGCTAAATATGTCATTTCAAGATAGATTCGTTCTTGATTAAAATCTTCTATTGATGTACAATAACGAATAGCACGTAGAAGACTTGATCGTAACCAATGACTATAGGT